TCGTGTGCGCCCCATTAATACGACTGCTATCTTGCCGCCCACTTGCTCACGTTTTACGACCCACGTTGCTATCACGGTCACGCATGATTGCTACGACAATCGGCGGTGATCCCGATCAATTCTTATTGTCTTCGTAAACTTAGAAGATTGTCCCGGATACGTGGGATCGCATCATACTGAGAAAAACATCTTTTCCTAGCAACAACGCACTTTCTTCTACTATACCGATCAATTAAAGAAGTGCTTAATGAGAAATATAATTGATCAGTAGCAGAAGAAAGTGCTTTTATCTCGAATGCATTGATTCATTAATTCTATTCCCTACGAATTATTGCTACAATTATACAGATACTTCTATGAATATGTAGCAAAGATGAAGCAGTTAAATACCATTAATGGCTATGAAGTGTACAAGGCCGATCATTGCTGGCATACTTTGACGACATTATGAGATAATGTCCTCTTAATCTTTGAGAGCATTGAAGGAAATTATTAAATTATCTCCTCTATTTATCCTGCTGCAGTCAGGAGAACATGGCAAGAATCGCGGGTTCCTCTTTTCTATGATTATTTTGGCTGGATGGCTGGCGGCGAGCAAATAAATCACGGGTCACCGAGATCGACCCTTGATTAGACAACGTAACATCAAGATCCGTTTTGTTCATTATATTAATAGATTCATGCTAAATTCATTCATGCTAAATTTTATTCGTTAATAATAAATAATTTTTACTAAAGAGAATTGATTTTTATCAGTCGTTCAAGATACTATAAAACAATGGCAAATTCATAGATTCGCGAATGTTAAATAGGTAATTAGAATTTGTATGTTATCAATCGAGGTTTATGGCCGTAAACTAGAGTACGTGGATCAATTGAGGAACGAATAAGCGAACACGAGGCAAAGCAACCAACGTTTTAGATCTTAGCCGCAATAATTATGTATATCGTTGCATTCGCAATGATGAATGTTATCGGTGGTCTGCGCGATCAGCAGAAATACATTAGCAGGATAGAGCATCGATAAAGCAATCTTACATAGCGCGATACAGCTTTTATACAGACTGTTTCAAAATCTGCCTTTTTGTGATTAAAATTTTAACTTATTAAAATTATGTATACAAAAATGTTGAATTTTGGACTGCTCTGTCGTTTTACATATAGAAAAAAATTTCCTTTATACATAAAATGTGAATAATCTCGAACTTACCTTTGTCGAAAAGGCGTCCTCACACTCCGTACAAAAGAGATTCTCCTCCTTTTCGTGCAGCAACATGTGAGACTTGAGACTCGCCATTCTGGCATATTTCCTACCGCATTCGGGGCATTTTGGATCACCGGTATTATGCGTTGCCATGTGAAGCGTGAAATTTGTCTGTAATGATACCATTGTATGAAGTTACTAGACTGAATCCATTGCATCCAAGATCAAAAAGCAACTTTCTCTTACTATTATTAATTTAATTCTATAAGAGATTAGCCGGATCGAGTAGGTTTATTCGACAGAAGTTTTCTAGATATACATTTTAGTCATCATGTAGTTGTTTTTCTATTTTCTCCATCATATAGTTTCTTATTTATGTCGTATATGTTAATTAAAATTAATTAAAGTTATACAGTGATATGTATTGTATAATGAGTATAATGAATACTTAATAAATGTATCTTTTAAGATAAAAACATATTACGAAATTCTTTTCTCTTAAAATGCCAATGATAGACAAGATATCAAAAGACTTACTGGAATATTAAACGATGCTGGACATTTGGGACATCTATGCGGTTTCTCTTCGGCATGATTTTCCATATGTTTACGATATAATGTCTGTTTAGTAAATTCTTGACTGCATATATCACACTGCAGAGACTGCGTATTCTATAACAAAATATTAATATATGGATTTCGTGATAAGAATAATTTACATTATATGACGTATAAAATAAAATTATATTCCTATATAAAATGTAAATAACCAATTCATTTCAGACGATAAAAATATTTTCCAGTTGTAGACATCAATTAATAATATTAACATACTTGTGAATTTACTTCGTTCTTCTTTGGTCTCCCTGGAGATCTTTTGTAGACGTTTTGTACAGTATTAGATACAGGCGTAGATTTGCTTTTAATATGATTGTCAACTGTTAACTGTACTTTGTCTGATAGTACATTGCTATTATCTCTAGGTAATAGATATTCTGTAACTGTATATTCATTCGTATCTTGTACTTTTAATGGTTCCGTAATTCCAGATCTATTTTCTAGATATTGCATCCGTGGCAGTAAATTTGTTTGTTGCATCGCAGTTCCTGACAGACCCTGCACATTCATTTGGAAAATAGGCTGAAACAGAAAAAAACATGCAATGTTCAACACACGTAGAACATCTCGTTATTGCTCAACGCTTTTAAGATACTAGGTCTGTCTTTTTAGCTGAATTTCTTGTGCATAGTTCATTTTTCCTCTTTTTATCTTCAATGTGAAAAGAAAAAGAGGAATGATAAACCATGCAAAAAAGTTCAGCTAAAAAGAACAAATCTACTATTAGCTACACATACCGAATGTAATATAAAATTTCCGTCTGTCGTCTTTATCAGTGTTGGAGATAGTGTTGGAGATACCATGTTATTCTGTGGCATTAATGTAATTGGTGTTGTCATAAATTCCAGTGTACCGTCCTCACGTTCTGAAAAGAAATCTTTAGTGGTTTGACATTAATAGAACATGTATGTGTTCATTAGATAAATTTTCTATTTATTTATTTAAATTACAATTCTGATAAGTATATGAACTAAACATGCAATTCTACATGTCGATAAATCTTTAATTATTATATATATATATATATATAGAAAGCTGTATAATATATGTATTGCAGTTATAAAGTTATGTATACAACTCTGTAGCCTGATTTTGTAATTCTTAATGACAGTGCCAGTAGTTATACTGTCATTGCACAGGCATTATACTTGGTAAACAAAAAAGTGATACAATGACAATGCAACAATATCAAATTGTTAACAGTTACAGAATCAGAATATTGGATACCTTCTAATTATTATATTGCTTTAATTATTATACTTATATTGTTTTAATGTGTAATATATATGTTAAGTCTATCGTCTTACCATCTACTGCCAGTAGCGCATGACCATCATCGGTAGTGATAAAACCAACCACTGCATCACTAGAACCAGTTAGTTCCATAATCACATTCTGTTCCGTCAACATGTTGGTATATGCAACAAGTAGCAGTGTCGAACAATAAACAATATCGCTCTCACAAATTCACGCTTGCTTGTACACAATGATATAAATCCAACTGCAGATCCCAAATGTTCAACAGCTACAGTTTTTACTGTAACATAATTTGAGCATTTTTTTTTAGTGTGTCAATAATTATAATATTTTATAATTGACTCTTATATCCCCTTTCTTATCTTCATATTGTTTTTGTCATTAAGAGTCCTTTATGTTATTTAATTTTATTTTAATTATATAACATTTTATTTCTGCACTAGAATGCACTAGAACTTTTTTTCTTGCTATAACTAAATAAAAAACATATCTTAAGTTCCAAAAATGTATATTATTACAGCTACAGAAAACAGATTTGTTATCCGACAGCAATCTAAATATTTGACTACAGTTTTAGGCTACAATTCTATCACGTAACTACATCATTGATGAATTAATGACTAGAATAACAATCAAATTTTAACATAATCTAATTATGTCAAGTTTAAATGTTTAACCAACAGTTCTAAACTACAATTCTGTCTTATAATGACTCTAACGTTCAACGGTTAACTCACTGCGTTATTAACTGATCATTAACGCATCAATTTGATTATAGAAACCTTAATAAACTTTAATCTCTGTGCAACTCTAACCTACACACAGAACGCGTCGTGTGCCGTTTCTTGTATATGAATCACATAGGACAAGCGTATCCGATTTGACGCGACGAGGTGTCCCGAGGTTCTTTGCCTTACTTTGCCTCTCGTGAATATTTGACTCTGGGACTTTCGTCTACCTCACACAAATGCGTCCATATGTTGTTTTCTTGCCGATCTCCCTCTTCCTCTCATTCCCTCTCGTTCACGCACCGCAGATGCGTATCGTACCGATTACCGGTTCACTGCTCGCGCTCGTCGCAGATTCGTCACATCCAAGGCATCCACTGATCCTTTCTCCTTTACCTTTTCGTTTCGTCAGCTTCTATCAACGAATTAGCACAAATTAATTAATGTGATTCGCCATCGACGTTCGCCATTGCCGCCATTCGCCGTTGTGTTTACACTTTACAACGCGTTGTTCGGGCCCCAGTAATCGAAAATGGATTAAAATGGATTGAAATTTTTATGCGTATTTTAAGCCCATTGAATCCAATTGGATTCCAAAAAGTTCTTTTTTTAATCTTGTTCTCTTTTTATCTTGTTCTTTTTTTAATCTTATCTATTTCAAATCTCACTATTCTGTTCCATCGAATCCAATTGAATAAAAAAAAGAACCTTTTTATTTGAATTGAAAAATTGCATCTCTTATTCAGAATTTTAAATTTAATAGTATATATAGAAAAAAAGATTAGAAACAACGAATTAATTTAAAAGAAACAGAAACTGCAACAAATTTAAAAGTTTTCGAATTCTTAGATTATTTCTTTGCGTGAAGAATATTCTTATTATTACTAAAGTCACAAAAAAATAAAGCGAATTTATCTTCTTATCTTACAATTAGTTAAAAATTATACGTTCGATAATTGATGCCATTTTTTTATGAAATAAAGACTGCGGTCTACTTGACGCTATAAATGTTTCGAAGCATTCTTTGATTAGTCAATTCGTAAAATTCTTTGTTCTGATTGGTCGCTCAAACGCTTCGAAGCGTTTGTAGCGTCAAGTGGACCGCGGCCAAAATTACGTATCGTTTAATATCGATTGCAAGACGTCACGAAGAATCGAGTCGATTCATATCAGTTTGTATCGATTCTATGCGAGTGTTATTTATCAATATTTACTTGTTGAGGTTAAGGTTAATAATAACTGTGGCTCTTTAACTACGGAAATAAATCTCGTATCAAGTTTAATTATTTCTTAACGAATCGGTCAATTTACGGAGGAAACATGCCGGGCCCAGTGGAACATCGGAGTGTTACGCCACTAATAAACTACATTCGAGAGGTTTTACGGGGTGTAAGTGATGACATTCGCTCTAATTATGTAATCTTCCCTACGTTTTTTTGAATTTTTATATACTCTTTTACATTAGTCTTCAATTTATTAATTCAAATATACAAATTTCCTCTGAAGAAATCGTGCCGTCTGCCTGGAAAACGTCATTAACGAGTCATTAACTGTAACGTTTATTGAGAGGTTATATCTAGATGGGCTGAATTTAATTTGACCGACGTTTTATGGAAAATATGTATATTTTTCCTGTAAATTATTCTTCTTTTCTTATTTGCAATACACTCACATGGTTCTTTGACATAAAAATATAATAGAAATTTTGGAGTTTAAGAAGTTGCATTTGTATCACATATCGTTTATGATAAACTCTGAGAAGAACATTAATAGAAATATCTATTTTCATTGTGTAACATATTTTTTCGGCAAAGATTTTTTTTTAAGTATTGAGTAAATAAAAAAAATGTATAAGTTCCTTTAGTTCTTTTTATATAACAATTTGATGATATGCATCTAAAATTTTATTTTCTGCAGAGAAAAATCATACTGCCCCATAGATACGCCGATGACCAAGCTAAGCGTACTCAACCCCCACCGAATATACCGGATGGTCCGAACCAGAAAACTTCGCAAATTTACTATTACACTCGAGATGCAAGACGAGAAGTTAAGCCGCCGATGTTAATTGATAGAACAAAACAAATTGATACGGAGTAAATATAAACATAGACAATAATTATGTCAACTATAATATATTACATAATATAGTTAATTATAATGTACAATATTATAGTATATATATTAACAATTTTATATTTAATTTATTAAAATTAAGAGGCCTATTCCATAACTTTTAATGACTTATAATGATATCGTAACAGTTAAGAATTATAGAATAAGCCTCTTAGGATTAAACTCAATTAACATGTATATAAAATCTTTTAGCATGCAGGCACATTTATCAGAATAATTTAAAAAATTATAGAAATAAATTTAGAAATATAAAAAGAAATTCATTCTTAAAAAATATACAAATTAAACTATCGATATTAAAGACATTTTCTTGGAAATTTTTAGGAAGGAATCTGTTGCCGAAAAGAAATTTCTCACTCCGGGGAAAGCCTATAATTGGGGTTCTTAACTTCTCAGAATCAAGCTAACTATTAGTATTATGTTACAAACATACTAATGTATATATAATATTGTTCAAAGAGTTTGCTTAGCTATTGTATATAGAAAATAAATTAAATTGCTTTCATTTATTGTTTGTTTAATTATTCATTACATCCTCTAAAAATAATATCACGCCGTAAAAATTATAAAAACATGTGGAAACATTAATCTGAAATTAAAAATATGTATACATATTCCTCTTGATATTTTACAAAATATCTGTTAAAATTTAATTAAATACTGTTATAACTGAGAATTAAAATGCACCGCGAGATGAAGGATTTCTAAATATATCGTCATGATTAAAGTAATTTAATTTTTTATCCATTAACAGCACATAAATTAATAACAGGAATGTAGTCGTATACAGATGTGTTGCATACGGCAGACATATACATACATAAGTGATCTCTCGTAGATAAATATGATACATTATTACATACAAGATTAAACGTTTTCGTAAAATACTGGGACTAAAATAATATTGACACCAATGCATTTGTACAGTTTCACAGTCAATGGTTATACCGCGATATATCTAACAACTGCAGTACATCATGTACCAAATTCTAATACAATAACAATAGTCATGGCGAGCATAAAGCGTCGCCTATTAACGATTACACGGACGGGGAAGAAAGAGGGGAAAGAGACGGAAGTAAGTTCCCCGATAATAATTCAATATGGGATTTGATTCTGATAATACTGTATCATATCGTAAGTTTTCGTACGGAAGTTGAGGTAGCTGTTACGTATTACATTGATCATGAAGATCGCTGCGTCGCGATCGGTGGCGGTCGGCACAAAGCGGCTGCGTAGGAGTTTAATAGTTTGCCCGCGAAAACACGGTAATCCCGTGTCGAGCATGAGAGAGACGAGAGAGATGATAGCCTCCTGGTAGGGCCTACAAAATAAAAAATATTTAAAGATTTATTTAAATTATTACCTATTAAATTAGTGGTTCGGGACAGCTCTATATATACCTAAATGTAATCTTGTTTTTTTATTGCAATATATGTATAGAATGTAGCGTAAAGATTTTTTTAATGATATTGATGAAATAATACTTACCTAACTGCGAGGAAAGCCTGCACGCACAGTTCCATAAACCAACGGAACGGCGCAGCTTCCATTTTGCCACCCATCACGAGAACCATTTCGTCAGTCAGTTTGATATCAGGCTCGAAGCCCAGATTACCACCGGGCGAGCTCTCGAACATAAAACCGAAATCAATGTGTATGATATGACCTTGGGTGTCTATCATGATGTTGCCGTTGTGACGGTCCTTTATCTGTAGGAGGTAGGTAATCACACTGTAAGCCGCCATTGATTTGACAAAGTTGCGACGAACATTTTGGAACTCCTTGGTTGTCTCGTCACCATGTTGCGCGATGAAATATTGATACATGTCACTGTCCGTTGTACGACCGAGTTGATCCCTCGACGTTGCGTACGGCACACATTCTATCACACCGCACTAATAACAGTATAATTATAAATGAGATATACCATATATCTATCTATCAGAGCATATTCATTACAAGAAATCAGTATCTTACCCCGGGAGCTGTGGCTAAGGAAAAGATTCAGCCCGACTTTTTGGAATACATTCTTAAAGATGCTGATCACTTGCAGAGCGAGCATGTCTTGCCTGACGTCATCTCCGACCTTGAAAATAGCGGCCTGCCACGTCTGCTCTTCCGTTTCTCTCTTACTGTCGACTTTCCCGTTGGTCGACACTGCTAACGCGATATTCTCCAGCTCGTTGATGCCATATTTCTGTACTTTGAAGCGCGCTAAGAATGGTGCCTTAGCAGCACTGTAATTATAAGATAATTGAATAATATTTTATGTGATAGGATTTACCATATCATTGTCTTTTTAACCATCTTAAATCGTACCTTTGCATAGGAGTACCGCTTTGATAATCTATATCGATGACCATCGCTTCGGGATTCGAAGGAAGATAGCAACCAGGTTGCACTTGGACTTTTGCTAAAGCATCTAAGCATGCGGCTTTGCGTTCCGGCCCTTTGGGATATGGCCGAATTTCGCCCGAGATGTTAGTGATCTTTTCGAAAAAGTCGAATTCTCTCTCGTAGAATTGTTTTGCTGGGCCAGACAGGGCGTTCAAAATATTCTTCGTCAACAAATCTAGTATGTCGTACAATACTGGATCTTTCATCTGCTTATCCTCGTCCATATATACATTAGTGTGCATATTCCATATCAACTGATGTGCCACTACCTAAAACATGTTAAGTCAAAGCACATTAACTTTAATTCTGCTAGTTTAATACTCAATTTAAAATTTGCAATACTTATAATACCTGTGATCGTTTAGCAATCTTCTTAATAAATTCGATTACATAGCCCATTGAATCGTGACGGACGGCTTGCACTAGTTGAGGTATATAGAAGAGCACGGCGTCGGCGGGATAGCTGTCTAATACATGCACCGCATATTGCGCCGAGATGGGATGATGCGGGAATTGTCGTGAGAAGAACGCCAATGCTTGAATTGGAGACACTCTTATATAAACTAACTAAAACAGAATCCAAATTTTATAAATGAGATAATCTCTAATATCTAAATAGAGATTGAATAATTTGTAAATTATTATTGACAAAGCGTTTAATAAAAATTAAAAATCTCACTTCAGGTACATCGTTGAGAAGCGTGTCCGTTGTAACGAGATACTGCAATGCTTCCGACAAATGCATGACTGGCACGGGTTTAAGGCGTACTAAACCACAGATCTCTTTGATGATGACTTCGTGATTCTTTAATCGCACTGGTAAAAATATGGCCAAAACAGGACTGATTTCCCACGCAAGTCGCGTATATTCTCGCCAGCGATCGTTCATCCCCTTGGCACGCCAGTCTGCGATACTTACTTCACCTTGCAACGCGAGACGCTGGGATTACGCCAGACCTTGATGAAAAACGTTTAGAACATTAATGTTTAGAAGCTGATTTTCAAGCGACAAATTATAGTTTTCTGATTATTTGTGATTCATTGAGAATTTACCAGTAACATTTCAATTTCAACCGCTAACGACTCGAGAATCAAATTTCTCTTCTTGATGTAATCTTTCACAAGAACATTGGCGTTTATAATTCGTTTGCTGCGATTGCTGCGTTTGCTTAATGTATTGGTGCTGGTCGACATAGGCATGGTACTCATCCACACGTTGCTGGGCGATCTTGAGAAGTCATTCGGCGTAGGAGCCAGTGTGGCGGCTAATGAACCAATTGTCTCGCTTGGAATCATTGCGGTTGTATAAGTTTGAGATGTCACTATCTCAAACTCATTATCGGCTCCTGTCATCATTAAGTATTTCTTGTCGCTATGCATCACCTGCGAAAATACATAAAACAGAGTTTAAGTGCCAGTCATAAACACAAATTCCGGTATTTTATTAAGAAAATAAAAAAGATAATCCTATATAAATTTCTATGTTCATAATAATTTCTAAATTATTTCTATATATATATAAATCTGAATTTAATTCGCACCTTAATTTTTAACTGTACTTACCTGCCAAAAACGTATGAGTGTAACTATGTCTTCGCTAAGTTGGTCAATTTCTTGGGTCGGCAACTGACGTTCTCGGCAGAAGTAATCCAGACAATTGGAATAGACACGTTCTCGCAGGACGTTCTTACTTAAAGTTCTACGAAAGTAGATCCAATTATTTTTTCTATCATGTCGTCATTCACGCGATAATGAAAAAAAATATATTACCTCGGTAAAACGTCACCTTGCAGCAGTACTAAGCCGCATGAAAGAAGTTTAAAACGCACGCCGACCGCGGCAACATGTCGTGTGATACCAGGTTCTTCGCCAGATGCACCGACAGTCATAGGTAACGAACGATGCAGGAGTAAGGCGATCATATCGACCGTCTCCTGGCAACAGTATTTGGCTGTTTCTACAAGCTCCACTATGAAGGTCACCCAGATATCGTGCGGTTTTACGTACGGTGGATTAGGACCGAGTTTGCAGCCCTCGTAGACCGCAAGAGGACTGACCTCTTGCTCGTTCGGTGTAAACAGGCCCATTTTCTTATCAACAGTATACTGCCATGCGAGTAACATCTCTTGCAAAAATCGCAACTTCAAATCTGGTCGTACAGTTAAAATCCACTGCCAGCACTCAACCGCTGTAGTCATGGCTGCGGTTGTGAACAGTTCTATTTGCGAGCATGCAACCGTGTGTAATAATCGTCTGTGTATACCTAAAAATATAAAATCTAATTAATACAAATAGAAACAAAAATTCATCAATAAATTACATTAACAAATCCAATTTTTTAAAATTAATTGTTTAATTTCATAAGGTTTAAGATTACATAGATGATTAGTTTAAATTTACCAGGCATGGATATTAAAAGAGCGGTAGCACGCCAAAGAGCTCCTCGATGGATGGTATCGTCGCGATCCTGACAGGCGCGGCGAACAGCTTCGATCAATCTCTCGACGACTTTATTCCTGCACTCTTCAAGAGTCATTTCCGCGGTTGGCGATTCGGTGCGCGCAAGGGCGAGCATACCCGCTACTTCACCAGCGTGCCATGATCTTGTAGACATCATCGACAGCAACCACGAACTCGCGCCCTTTGGACCGCGTGGCCTCTTATCCAAGGAATTTGTCTATTAAATACATTTCTCCGTCAATAAAATTAATAGCGAGTATAGTTACAATGCGTTAAATGAAGAAAAATGGCTAATGTCCGTTTCTATCAATGTAGATTAACTTTAATTTCAGTTCAACTTGTTCTTCATCTTTTTCTAATTCTTAAAACTAGAAAAAAATAAAAAGTTAATTGAAGATTAAAATTAAACTATATTGGTAGAAACGGGTATAAGATAATTCTAAAACTTACAGTAAAACGTCGTGTGATACATTAAAGCATTGCTACATACATTTGCTGGAACTATTGTGGGAATTGCAGTATCCACAAATTCAAGGACCGAGTCAATGGCCAACGACAAACCAGAATGAT